TCAATCATTGGATTTAGCCCCTCTTTTTTTCATTTTGGAGTTGAATTTAGCCAGTAGAATGATTGAATTAGCATTGAACTATGTTTTAAAATTGTTAATTGTTGTAATGTTCTTAAAGGACAGTATGTTCTACTATTGCTATTTAGCAGAATTTCAGGACTTTATATGCTCCAAAGTACATAGTAGTACACAACCCTAGAACTCAGTATCTCAGACTATAGCTGAGGAGTAAGTACACCATCAATCTCCTCCAAACACCATCTATTATTACCCCACACCTCATGCACCTTGGGAAAATATTGAGGCAAAAACTCAACTCTATGAATCAAAGGACCAGACTCCAACCATGAATCACACCAGAAGTCAACAAACTTTCCATCTCCAATGATCATCATTGAATTATTCACAGTAAATTCAAACCAAGGCTTTAGCATTTTAATACATCTTCCATATCCCACCATACCACACCTCATAATGTGTTTTCCTTTAAGAAACTTACTCTGAAAGACCTTGTCCCATAAAGAGATCCCATTTAGAATCCCCCACACTTGCTTAACCCTAAATGCAGATTGAATGTCCTCAAACCTTCTAATCCCCAACCCACCTTCTACTCAAGGTTTAGAAATTTTCTCCAAAGATACCCAATGTCTTCTTTTGACATCCAATTTATTGGACCAAAGAAAACTAGCAACCAAAGAATTTAGCTTCTTCACCACCTCTTTAGGAATACACATACAAGCTAGCATATGTAGAGGTACAACACTTGATCACTTATCATATATGTGTAGTTTTTTTGATGCTTTGTTTTATTTCTGGGAATTGACGAGTTATGAATTTCGGTAATTTATTGAAACCTTAATATAATTTAAGGTTTCAATTCTATGCATGCTTGCATGAAACCTTAGTACCCGTTCAAGAATCCACATCGGACATAGAGTATTCTTTGCCGATGGAGATTTCTTGAACTGTCCAATTTCGGACAGTTTGGGAAGACACAAGTCTATATTGTAGTTAGTATCTCACCGCTTAACTTGTTACATCTCTTGGATATTCTGTGTTGTAGATCCCATTATTCTCTGTGTGCAAACTAGACGGGTGTAGCAATGACATTTAGTCTATGTCATGTACTTGGAGAACTATGGGGAAATGCTGCCGGATTTTAGTTAGAGATGTACAAAGCGTTAAGAGATGCTTCCTATGATATAGAATGTGCATTCCTGAATGGAATAGGACCACCTACCAAAATAGGAAGGAGTTGACGGCATAGTTTGCATGATGCTTGGTACATGACAATGATAAATATGTAATTTTGTAGGCTAGCAATTATGGACAAGAGTTGGATGACAATTAGGCATAGGTTGGATTCGAAATACATTGATGGGGTCAAATATTTTGTCAACTTTGCCATGGAACGTTCGAGTCGAGATAGAAAAATTCGATGTTCATGTAGGAATTGCATGAATGCAGAATGACATGAATGTAGAATGACATGATGATGAGACTGTGAAAAATCATTTGTACATGAAAGGAATCATGACCTGTTACACGATGTGGGTACACCATGGGGAACCCGTTCCTATGAATGTCACCCAATTCTTTGAAGATAATGAGGATGATGATGATGATGATGATAGTGTCGAGGATGATATGACCGACAGTGAAGATGATGATTGAGACGAAATACCTGAAATGTTGGAAGATGTTGGTAGGGGAATGTTCATGGATAATGATTTAGGGGGTGTTCGTGTTGGAGAAACATGTGAGGGTGTTAATAGTAAGGAAGTTTAAAATTTTGAAAAATTACTGAAGGATGCTCAACATGTTTTGTATCCTGGTTGTACAAAATATACACGGTTGTCGTTTTTGGTTAAGTTGCTTCATTTGAAGATATTGAGCAAGTGGAGCAATAAGTCATTAACATTGATGTTAGAGCAATTGACAGACCTTTTACCTAAAGGTCATATTCTTCCAACGTCTCTCTATGATGTTAAAAAATTCTTACGTGCTTTGGAATTGGGATACAAGTCCATTCATGCATGTAGATACGATTGTATGCTATTTTGGAAGGAGAATGAAAAATTGGATAAGTGTACAGTATGTGGGGAGTCAAGATATCAGCTCAATGATGGTAAGGGTAAGAAGATACCTCATAAGATCTTGCGATACTTTCCCTTGAAACCAAGGTTACAGAGATTGTTTATGTCGAGAAAAATGGCTATAGATATGAGGTGGCACCAAGAGAAGCGAGTGGAGGACGAGAATTTTTCAAGGCATCCTGGTGATTCTGAAGAATGGAACGACTTTGATAAGCAATATCCTGATTTCGTTTGGGACTCTCGTAATGTTAGGCTTGGATTGACCACCGATGGTTTTAACCCTTTTGGCAACATGAGCAACTCTTACAGTATGTGGTCTGTGATCTTGATGCCTTATAACCTGTCTTCCTAGAAATGTATGAGCGATCCATTCTTCATGATGTCATTGCTTATTCCATGATCACAGGCACCCGGGAAGGAGATTGACGTATACTTGCACCTGTTAATTGATGAGTTGAAAGAATTGTGGGAAGGTGTTGTAACTTTTGATGTATATATCAAACAAACATTTCAAATGCGTGCAGCTATTATGTGGACCATAAATGATTTCCCTGCTTATGGTAACCTATCTGGACGGAGTACAAAAAGTTACAAGGCATGCCCCATTTGTAATTTTGATGCATTATCACAACCATTAAAAAGCAAAATTGGCTACACAAGTCATCAGTATTTCTTGTCGCAAGATCACAGCTGGCGACGAAGTAAGTTATTTAATTGTAATATTGAGAAAAAATCAAAACCTTGTGAGTTATCGAGGCGAGAGATTTTAGATCAGTTGGAGTGTTTACCAAATGAGTAATTCGGAAAGCATCCAAATAGTCGAAAAAGAAAGCGGTCATCTGAGGAACTTAATTGGACAAAGAAGAGCATTTTTTTTGAGTTACCGTATTGGCATGTGCTTAAGATTCGACACAACCTTGATGTCATGCACATAGAGAAAAATATATGTGATAGTTTGTTTGGCACGTTGTTGAGTATTGATGGCAAGAATAAGGACACAGATAAAGCTCGTCTGAATTTGGAGGACCTAAATATCAGAAAAGAATTGCATCTCCAAAAGAATAGGGAGGCATATGTAAAACCAGTTGCGTGGTACACTTTGTTTCCAAAAGAAAGACAAGAGTTCTGTGAATTTTTGAAATCAGTTAAGTATCCATATGGATATGTAGCAAATATATCGAGGTCTATGAGCACGAAAGATGGTAAGGTATCAGGCCTGAAAAGCTATGATTGTCATGTTCTTCTGCAATGACTTATTCCACTTGGAATTCGTGGTTACTTGGACAAGGAAATTTATACCACTTTATTTGAGTTGGAAATTTTTTTTCAACAACTCTCTGCAAAGACATTGATGGTAAAAGACTTGGATGCATTACAGGATAACATAATACTCATTCTTTATAAGTTAGAAAATATATTTGTTCTAGCATTTTTCGATGTTATGGTTCATTTAGTAGTTCACCTGCCAAGGGAAGCCAAGATTGTTGGACCAATATCGATGGATGTACCCAGTGGAAAGGTAATATTTTAAATTGTTATTAGTTTCTCATTTGGTTTTGTTATTATCTCCTTATATGTTTTGTGATTTACTGAAGGTATCTCAGACCACCGAAACTATATGCATATGCACTACAAGGATTTGGTTGAGTCTGGTGTTGACCCAAAGAGCAAGCCATATGGTGATGTAAGTCAGGAGGATTGGGAGTACATAATTGAAACACTTTACAAGGATCCAAAATTTCAAGTAACTTTTATTAGCTATGCACTTTTTATTCCCAATTGTGTACTAATTATGTTCTTTGTATGTAGGCAAAATCTAAGAAAAATATAGAAATCGTGCCAAACTACCATACAACCACTCGATGGGTTCAAAGTCCTTTCAGTCTGCCTTATATGAAAGGGTGTTATACTTTAGCATTTGCTTCCTAAATTTTAATATAGAGGAAATTCATAAATTTGAATATTGATATTTTGATTAACTATAATAGAGGACCCTACGACTGATGAGCCACCCCACATTGTTGATTTTTTTCACCATTCTCATGTGAACAAGAAGGGTTAATGGGTTTCTGTTGAGGCAGAGTCAAGATATGTAAGTATTTCAAATTGTAAAAAATTATGTTTTTTTTTAAATAAATTTTTATGATACACTCACTAATTGGGTTTAAATATATTAAATTGTAAGAGCGAATGAAAGAATTGTCTACACAAAACTTAGAAGAGGGTGTAGAGCCATTGACATAAGATGAAATTGCATGCACAGTCCTTGGGAGTAGACTTGGATATAAGAAAGGATTTGGACATGACCCGAAGCCTTTATCCTCTAGTCAGTCATTTAGATCCACTGCTGAGTATTGACAACAAACTGATATGATAAAAGAGTTGCAAGCAACTGTTGATTCTCTTCAGAAGGAACGTGATGAAACGAAAAAGAAGCTAGAGAAGTTTGAAGACGCATAGCAACAGACGATGCAACAACTTTTGCAGATGCAACTTTAAATACAACGTGCTCTGCAGGGCACCTCAAATAATGCAAGCATGTCATCTGAGTCTTAGTTAGTATCTATTTAATATTGTTTGATGGATAATTTATTAATGTATTTTTTTCTTTTTTGTAACAAATGAATTATGGACTTCTGCATTAAAGTGGCTGACGAATTGTCTTTTGGTTATGTATTTAAATATTGTATTATTCCATCTTGTTTTGATGTGTGATTGTTATTTTATTATGTGATTTGAGGGATTTGCCTTTTAAGTGGTTTTTGATGATAAGGGTTAATTGTTTGGTTATATGGTGTAACTGTTGATTTATTTGAAATATGGTAGCAGGAGAGGCATTGGTAGGCTATTAGTTTTGGTTTTGAAAGTGCTTTGACGAATTAGCTGGTTGCTGCTTTAGCTGCTATGCAAAGTTTCACTGAAAAAATTGTGAATTTGATGAAGAGTGAAAATCTGTTTCAGTCCCAGGGTGGCCCCATCATACTTTCTCAGGTATGGCTTCCATGTTTTGGGATTTTAGTTTTCACCACATATGCACTCATGTCAAATCTGGGGGTTGAGCCATACATTAAAATAAATTCACCAATGTAGCAGTTATTCTAGAGTCTAGATAGAAAATGGAAACTTGTTGAGGATATCCATCCATTATTGGTAGAACTAAATTTCAGTTTTCACAATGATGGTGCTGGCTAATTTGTTTTGTAGATTGAGAATGAGTATGGGTCACAAGGTAAGGCACTTGGAGCTGCTGGTCATCAGTACATGACTTGGGCTGCAAATTTGGCGGTTGGGTTCGGTACAGGAGTTCCCTGGGTAATGTGCAAGGAAGAAGATGCCCCAGATCCAGGGAATTCATGGAGGGATGGGCTGCATACAAGTATAACCTCCCAGTACATATCATTTGTTGTCTCAACGATGGTTCACTCATGCATCTCCTACACTTTTCAATGCAGGAACGCCAAGGCCCCAAGTATGTATTGTTCTTGCACAAAAATTTACCAAACTTCATATGGTAAAAATAAGTTTTCACCAGATGTGTGAACATCACTCTTTTCTTTCAAGTTTTACTTGTTATAACTTTGTATATTCTGTTTCTACCAATAAGGATTTCCTGCTTTCCCTGGTAGTCCTAATGTACTCATTGCTTTTATCACCCACATAGTTTTGTTCTTAAATGGCATTTAAGCAGCTGCTTCCTAGTGTGTATGAAAGAAGATACTTTGAAGGAATATATGATACTTTGAAGGAGTGTGTTGTTATCAGAAAATCAGCTGGAGGAATTGGTGTCCCTGTTCATAACATCTGTGCTACTAGTAGCTATATCCACGGAACAAATGGGGTATCCAACGACATTGTTCCAATGCTGTGAGGGTTCAATGACACTGCTCGTTATGTTGATCAAGGGGGTGGCAAGAGGAAAGGTATACATCATCATGTTGTGCTTTGAAGTGTTTAATATCATGGTTGTTTGTTTTGAAATAGTGATTTCTGGCATGTAGGTGCTTTTGTTGTATATCTAGAGCCATGGCATGCTGATATTTTTGAATTTCTGGATTTAACGAAAAACCATGGGAAGGTATAGCAATTTCATTTGGTATTAATTNTAATATCATGGTTGTTTGTTTTGAAATAGTGATTTCTGGCATGTAGGTGCTTTTGTTGTATATCTAGAGCCATGGCATGCTGATATTTTTGAATTTCTGGATTTAACGAAAAACCATGGGAAGGTATAGCAATTTCATTTGGATGTGATGTTATAAGGGGTTCATAGTGGCTTTATGATTGATGCCCTGAGCAATTTGTTTTATATTTAAAGTTATGTGGACAATATTAGATCATTGATTTTTCTATTTCAGAGTTTTCTATTGCAACTAATATCATAGTGGGAATTGCCATTCTTGTAGGAANGATCATTGATTTTTCTATTTCAGAGTTTTCTATTGCAACTAATATCATAGTGGGAATTGCCATTCCTGTAGGAAGAGCACCGTGCCCGGGATCTATTTTATGCTCTTTGGGTACCTGATCTCTTTATGGAAAGAGTCCAAAGCAATGGGCACTGGTCGTTGTTTTGTCCAAATGAGGCTCCAGGTTTTGCTGATTGTTGGGGTGAGGAATTTGAGAAACTATATACCAAATATGGAAGAGAGGTAAACCCTTTCTGTCCTATCCTGGTTTATTGTCTGCATCCTCTGAATGTGAAGTTTGTGGGGTCTTATTGGAATTTGATTTCTACTGATATCCTTTTATGAGTTCAGGGTAAGGCAAAGAAAGTTGTTCAGGCACAGAACATCTGGTTTGAGATTTTGAAGGCTCAAATAGAGACCGGGACCCTTTATATGCTATTTAAGGTTATCTACGAAAATTACGAACTAACAGTAATTTTTATTACTAGTTGCTTGTTGTCATTACATTACGTTACCTATGCTTAACTTATTTTCTTGCCATTGTTATAGGACACTTGCAATAGAAAAAGCAACCAGCAGAACCTGGGAACCATCAAGTCTTCAAATTTGTGTACTGAGATCATTGAGTACTTGAGTCCAACGGAAACTGCTCTATGTAATGATGTTCAGAGGATGCTGTCTGCTGTAAAGTATCACGAGCTGAATGGATCAGGCACCTGGACTGTGGCCTGATGTTCTGATTTGACTTCAGTCTGGGCTGGTACTGATCTGTTGAGTTTAGAAATGGTATTTCAATGCATGGAGCTGGACTGTTGGAACTGTACAAGTTTAAGAGACATTAAATATAATTAGAGATGATTTAAATCCTCTTGAAGGATTAAAGCCATTTTTTCAATTTTTAGAACTTTTTGTTCTTTGATTCTTGTAATTCATTCTTTTTGGAAATAAAATTTTATTTTTTTAAAAAAAGATGTGAAATGTATGTTGAATGGAAAAGATGTGAAATGTATTAATTGTGTTAGTTTTTTATTAAACACAGGTATTATTAGTGTACAGGTGAAAATTTTTATTAGAATATCATTTTTATGAATTATTTTTTAAAAAAATAAACTTTTTGCAACAAAATTAAAATCGTCGCGAAAAATTGTAGGAATAATCTTTTTTGCGATTATTTTTATACGTGGCAAATGTATTTATTCAATTATTTTTTATATTTTTTATTTATGTAAAAAAGTATTTGCGACCTTTTTTTTACGTCGCAAAAAATTAATTAAATTATTATTTTTTATATTTNAAAAATTGTAGGAATAATCTTTTTTGCGATTATTTTTATACGTGGCAAATGTATTTATTCAATTATTTTTTATATTTTTTATTTATGTAAAAAAGTATTTGCGACCTTTTTTTTACGTCGCAAAAAATTAATTAAATTATTATTTTTTGTAAAAAATTATTCGTGATGATTTTTTTGTCAGAAAAAATTAATTAAATTATTATTTTTTACATTTTTATTTATGTAAAAATTATTTGCGACAATTTTTTTATGTGGCGAAAAATTAATTAAATTATTATTTTTTACATATTTTTTTATGTAAAAAATTATTTGAGATGATTTTTTTATGTCGCAAAAAAAATAATTAAATTATTATTTACATTCTTATTTATGTCAAAAATTATTTGCAACAATTTTTTTACGTCGTGAAAAATTAAGTAAATTATTATGTTTTATTTTGTTACGCTGGTGTAATAGATTTTAACTACGTTTTTTGAAATTTTTATGAAGTTTTTTTTTTCCGTCGCAATTTTTTTTTTTTTTTTGCAATGAAAATAAATTTACATTACAAATACTTTCTGCGACGAGACTATTGCAACGAACACACGACGAAAAAAAAACGTCGCAAAAAATAATTGGCAACGATTTTTATTTTAATTTAGCGATGAAAAAAATCGTTGCAAAAAACGATTTTTGTTGCAGTGTTAATTTATCAGACTTCACATGACCCTTAAATCCACTCTAATATTTTTTTTTCTTGTTTTACTTTTTTGACAAATCATTTGTCATTCATGAGTGTGGAATTCACTTATATCCAATACGCCCCACTTAAATTTAAAAAGACGTTTTTTGCGCGTGTTCGTCCTAGTGTTTTATGAATTGAGAGAAACACGCCAGTGTAATTAATTGCATGTCAAAATTATGCATTTTAGTTATTAGGTTTTTCATGGTCTTTATACAGATCACAACAATCAANCTATACCCACCTCACTAATAACTACACTAACCTCAGTCTTCACATTGAGGGTTTTTTCTATACCCCATCTCGTAAAGCTTATATAAAAATATATTTAATTTGATTATCTAGTTTAGAGTTTTCAAGTAATATTGAAGTTGGTATTGGTTCCAAATTTTTTATTCTATTTTATTGTACGGGNTTTTTTTTTCCATTTACTTTTGACGAGCCTAGATTCAGAACAAGGCCTAGATCCAATTCACGAGTTGAGTCCAAATCATTAAAAGACAGGTCAAGCTTAGCTCATTGTCTCAGTCCAATCTAAAACTCAAGAGTGCAGAAAGAGTTAACCCACGTGAGAGAGCAATAATCAAGATAACCATTATTCCAAGATAGTGTTTATCTCCAATTGTAACTATCCTCCTAGATAAACTAATATCTTGACTCTCACTTCCCCGTCTCAGTCAGAGTTTTGCACCTATAAATTGTAAACTCCTCACACAGAGGATGCATACATTGCACCTTGAGCGTACTCTATCTCTCTCGCACATTAATAGAGTTTTTCGTTGCAACCTTCAATAGTTAGATCACTCAAACCTAACCTCTCAATCTTTGTTTCTTATTATTGCTACCTTCAGTGGTTAAGTCACCTATACCCAATCACCCCATTTTTGTCACCTATTATTAATTATTTTACAACACACATTCGACTGATTTAATTGTGCATAATCAACTTTTTGCATCANGGTGCCCAATTTTTTTTTAATATTTTTTTTCCTTTGGGAGACGGAGGGGAGAGGGAGGAAGGGTGCTTGAATCATTGATCTCAAGATGACAAAGTCTTCACAAGGTAAGAAGTACCATTAGACCAGAGACAAAATTTTCACAAGGTAAGGAGTATTCTTTGACCAGAGACCTATTGGTTGGTGGTGCCCACCAAACCCTTTGTTTCCATCACATTTCTCCTGTTGAAATTGTACATTGGCGGCTAAAGTCAGTTAAAGTGATGATATTTGATATCTGAGTTTCTTTTGCAGAAGAGCAAGATCTTTCTCTCATTCTTCAAGATAATGGGCAACTTTCAATTGGACAAACCTAATTAGATTATAAAGTAGAGAGGGGAACCTAGTGTGTCTATTTATAATGAATTTAATAAACTCTCCCATTATTGGCCGCAATTAGATTAAGGCTTGCACTTTATCACCTCAACCACATCAATTAAAATAATATATATAAGCTCATCAAAATATATTAATTAACAATATTGAGTTCATCTCATTAAACCATAAATTCAACCTATTTTTCACAAGTCCAAAATTAACTATAAATTAGTAGAAGTTCAATATGAAAAAAATTACAATAGTATATAGCTCATGTTAGTATTTGATGCTCGATAACGGTCTAAGTTAAATAAAAATAGACTTTAATTGTGCATAATCAACTTTTTGCATCGTCAACTTTCTTGTGACACTTACATAGATCACAATACTCAACCACCTTGATTGAGTTTTTTCTAGATCTAAATCCCCTCCAATATTTTTTTTTCTTCATTTTCTTTCTCATGACCCTTAAGATCACCATAATCAAATCATGTATTTAAGTTATTAGACTTCTCATGGCCCTTAATATCACCACAATCAAATCATGTATTTAAGTTACTAGATTTCTCATGTTCCTTATATAGATCACAACAATCAACCACCTTCATTGAATTTTTTATGGATCTAAATCCCCTCCAATACATTTTTTTCTCCATTTACTTTCCCATGGCCCTTATATTGATCATCACAATCAATCACCTTGATTGAGTATTTTTTGGATCTAAATCATCTCTAATATTTTTTTTTCTCGATTTACTTTCTTCACAAATTATTCGTCATTTATGAGTGCAGGACCTACTTACATCCAAAGAGTCCCACTTGAATTTAAAAAAGACGTGTTTTGCACGTGTTCATCCTAATGTTTTACCAATTGCCAAGACACACCATCAAATTCATGTATTTAAGTTATTAGGCTTCTCATGGTCCTCATATAGATCAAAACAATCAACCACCTTGATTGAGTTTTTTTTTGGATCTAAATTCCCTCCAATACTTTTTTTCTCCATTTATTTTCTTGGTAAATCATTTGTCATTCAAGATTGAGGGACTCACTTATATCCGTTGGATCTCACTTGAATTTAAAAAATACGTGTTTTGCACGGGTTCATCCTACTGCAGTAGTGCTTCAACAATTGCTAGAGACACGCCATAGGAAATAAATTGCATATTAAAATTATGCATTTAAGTTATATAGATTACCACAATCAATCACCTTGATTGAGTAGTTTTCGAATCTAAATCCCCCTAATATATTTTTTCTCGATATACTTTCTTGACAAATCATTTGTCATTCATGAGTGCGCAATCCATTTATATCAAATGGGTCTCACTTGAATTTAAAAAAGACGTGTTTTGCACATATTCATCCTAGTCTTTTACAAATTGACAGAGACATACCAATGTTATTAATTGCAAGTTAAAATCATGCATTTAAGTTGTTAGACTTCTTTGCCCCTAATATAGATGACTACAATCAACCATCTTGATTGAATTTTTTTCGGATCTAAATC